TGTTCTGACGCGGCGGGCGATGGAGGATGAACAGAGGATGGCGTGGAAGCTGGCAGTGATGAGGGAGAAGAAGAGAAGAGTGGAGGCGGCAAATGCAGCAATGCAAGAACTAGCGGAGGTGAGGACTGCCTTAACAACACAATTGACTCTGCAAGTACATCTCCAACGCAAAGTGGAGATCATCGCCCAGAGCGTTGACCGGTTAGTTAAAGTGCAAGAAAAGCACTATGAGTTTAGTCGCAGCCAGGAGATATCCGTGCGTTCGATGCGAATGGGATTACGGGATTTTGCTCGCAAACTAGTAGGCGTTGTGGGATCCGAGGTGAGTCATTGCCTCGAGAAGACTGAGCGTTTTTGTGTCGGCGCCATCGAAGGCGTCAAGGTGGCCGCTCCCAAGGAGGAGGAGGCCCGTCCTCGCAGGGAGCCAGTCAAAGTCAAATTCCCTCATTCCTACAGTGGGAAAAGGGAAGAGAACTTTGACAATTGGGAGGCCAATGTTAAGACCTATGTGCATTTGCAACAGGTCTCCCCGGATCAGCAGGTCTTAATTGCAATCCATGCACTTAGAGACTAGGCCGCCAGTTTCGCGAGATCCCTTGTTCGTGCTGCCAACTGTAGCGACGATCCAGTTGCGTACTCCTCGTTTACGTCCCTCATTGAATTCTTGAAGCTGCTGCGCGAGCGATTCGCTGTTGTTGCCCGTAGTGTCAAAGCCTCAGATAGGCTTCAGACAATACACTCGCGCCAATGGAAGAGTGCAAGGGCACTCAAGGGCACAATGGATGAGTTGGTGGCTATTCCTGACCACAAGGTCACGGAAACCCAGTTGGTCAACCTTTTCTACCGGGCTATGCCCGAAACGCTTCGTGGTCACTTCTTTGACAAGAGTCAGGACCCTGCTATGACTTATGATATACTTAGCAGGGAAGTGGTCGCGTTCGAGGCGAAGTCTGCGTCGATTTCCACCTTCTGGCACAAAGATTTAGACAAGGGCAAAAAGTGGAAGGGCCGCACTTTCTCAGGGCAAGTCAAGACCAAGAATAGCCTTGTGCTCACTTTAGATGAGGGTAGTGTGGACGAGATCCCCTACGACCAGATGGAGTGGGGGTTCGAGGAGGAGGACAATAGTGTGGGCCAGGGGAGGACTTTCGCTGCTGTCGCGGCTGGAGGGAGGCCGCAAGGAGGATGAGGCCAAGGCCAAGGGGGCCGGGCCTCAGGGAGCCGGTTCCAAGGCGAACAAGGGGTTGGCGGCAGAGGAGGGAACCGCCAAGCGGGAGGCAGGGGTCAAGGTCCCCCGCAAAACCGTCCTAGGAACAAGTCTCCCTATAAAGTAGGAGGATGGCACCCAGGGCTACCTCAGGGTAGGCCGTGGGAATCTTTGGGTCTGGACCAGGCTTTATGGCAACAACGATTGAACCGGGGCCAGTGCATTTTCTGCGGTGACCCGGGGCATATCATCAAATATTGTCCTAAGTATCGAGAGACCCGAACGGCTGCTCAAGAGCCAAAAGGCAGCCGCCGGTAGGGGTAGCAACTGCCCCTACCACTAGGCCATGTGGGGAAAATAGCGCTAGCCGAC